CGTACGTTCGTAATAGTCAAATGTCTGACTTTCATCCAACAGGGATCTTTTATATGCCAAGTGCGAGAATTAACTAAATTCTCTATATCGGATAAATGTATATACCGGGTGTCCGAATTGTTTCCGATCAAACTTCGTCGGTGCATTCTATAGGTATAACTAAGAAGAAAATGTTATATAAACATAGGTCGTTTGAAGCTTTATTAAAAAGTTACGGCAATAATACGAAATACGAAAGCAACGGTGTTTGTGGTTGTGACACAAAATAGGAACAGACCACCGATATTTATATCCAATCTGTTTATACGAGTTGTGTTTGCGATCACTGAAATCGTTCAAGCTGTTGAATGTAACTTTTACCATTGTTGTCTCGTATCATAGCAACCGCAAATTCTTTACAATTCCCTTCGTACTATTGTTACAACTTTTCAACAAAGCTTCGAACCACCTATGTTCGTATAACCTTTTCCTCTTATTTATACCCATAGAACACACTCGCGAAGTTTGATCAGAAAAAACTAGGACACCCTGTATACGCTCCTCGTAAATGAGCCATCATTTTCACAAAGCGTTCATACATACGCCGTTTATAGCGAAATGGTTAAAGATAGAAAAAATCTTTCTGTTCCAATGCAACTGGTTAGATAATCCATCGTAGAACGTCCCTTTGGTTATTGAAACCGCGTGGAGCGTGTATCGTTATCGCGGTCGCTCATTGTTTTCGTAATTATAGAGACCGATTTACATCTGGCGTGATCGATACAACGGGGACGAGGAAAACAAAACGTCGAACGAACAATGCTACACGGCTGCCGGCCGCTCTACGAGCGCAATGTTTTACACTCGCTGGTAATTGCAGTCTAGCTGGTGATGTTACGTATGTGCAACATATGTCACTGTTACCGGATGTCACCTCGACTTTTCCGTTTTCCTCCACGCGCGACTGCTGTGACGGATGGCCGACAGCTCGCCTGTGTGAGAGTTCAACATTTAGATCCACTCTCTTCCTTCGGTTCAGCGCCCATGGGTCCGTTGAAAAGTTCTCCCAAGAAAAAAGCAAGAAGGAGGTGAAAGTTTCCTTTGATTCTTCCTCGTTAAGATTCTCCCTGCTTTTTCCCAGGAACCTCGAAGTAGTTACGTGAAAGAAATTCGAGAGATACGGTGTGAAGTTTCAAGCGATGAAAATAGCGTTTCCGTAGAAGATGTTAGAAAAATTCTAATGATTGTTCGTTCGGAAATCTCCTTCGTTAAGATTCTCCCAAGGTTCTCCCAACAGCATCTTGGAGAAGTGCCGCGTGCGGGAAAATTCTAGGAACGTAGCTTAGGAGTTTTCCACGGTTGGAATAGAAAATTTGGAGGGGTCGAGTCCGTTTATCCGGTCGCCGGTCTAAGGGGCCGCGTGACAACCTCCTAGACGAGATTGACTCTCCTCAGTCTCGAGATAGCAAAAGCCCAGTCGCCCGACCCCTTTGGGTTAGCCTTCTTCCCCAGTTTTTCCGTGATCTGCATATTTTCCCTCGAACCACTGTGCGCGCCTCTCTCTTTCGTTATTTCGCGAACACCGTCCGTTACGAGCTTTTCGTTGTTCGAATCGTGACGAAAAGACACTCTCTCTCTCCCTCTCTCTCTCTCTTTCTGGAAACGTCATTGAACACGTTCGATAGATAGGATTTTTTTCTGGTCGTGCCACGACTACTGTTTCCTCCATTTCAACCTCTGCACTCGAGACATGAATTTTTATTTTTTCCACAGGGAAGAAATATTCCCATGCGTGACGAGCAATCTGCTCGATGAATTTCCCCAATGAATCACACGGAGAGAATGCACCTCGGGGGTTAGAGAGCTCCGAGGAGAGCATGCTGCAAGCATCCACGGCTGCAGAATCGAGAATGTCAGGGTCGTACTTTAACCCCTCGTCGTCCTTCGCTGTTCCTCCCCTTGGTCATCGTTGTCGTCGTGAAGCATAGTTTCGCACACACACACACACACGGTCAACCTTGGGTGCTTTCTTTTTTCTTCCCTTTTTTTAATTATCATCGAATCACCGTTAAGCACGACACTGTTAGGTGACTCTGAAATTAAGGTACGGCCACTTAAAAGCAAACCCGTAAAGCGACGCCCACGCAGCAGGTACCTGCTATATGCACTTACGCGAGTCCAGGGGCGGATCGACTTTTAGCGCTCACCTCTCTTTCGTCTCGAAACTTCACGTCTCCGATCTCTTCCTCAAACGTTTCGAGTTACGTTGAGAAATTTGCAAAGTTCGGGTAAAGGGAGATACTCGCGAATGAATATTTGAGAAAAGGGGGAAAGATTGACGAGGGAGGAAGCCCGCAGGTAAAAGTCGAACGTGATCTGCTCCGTTTACCTTTCACGGACTTCCGATACTCGGTTCAATGGCGGCCCACGTCGAGCGCTAATTGTTGCCCAGAGCGCAGCGTCGCGAAAGACAGCCGCTCCGTACGAGCCAGCTCGTTTCTGTCACCTAACCTCTCTTACAAACGGTGTAACGTGTACTCGCTGAATCGGCAGAATGTATATAAGAAATGCAGAAAGGTGTGAGAAAAAAAGGACGTACTCAGGTAGAGAGAGAGAGAGAGAGAGGAGAGAATACGGTGGAACGAAATGCTCGAAAGTAAATGGCCTAAAATGAAAAGACGAATAGAATCTGACGTAGGATGAATAACGATCTGCCAGGGAGTTAGGACCGTGTAATGAAGTGCGGGAGAGACAATAGGGGTAGGTGTGCTTAGAGAGAAAAAAGGATCGGTGTTTGTTGAAAAGACAAAAAGCAATAGAGTGGAATAGGAGTGAAGTGCGAAGGTGAGAGAGCCGATACGGCCCTGAACGGAGAGCTACACACAGGGTGGCCAGACAGAAAAATCAGCGGAGGCACTCCACCGATGAGTGCCACGAATAAGGGCCACATAAAGACGGGTCGTAAAACTATGATTTACGGCTTGTCATTGATGCGTTCGCTGTCCGTCCATCCGTACGATCCTCTTCTCCTCCAGTTCATCATCGTCTCTCCCTCCGTCTTCTCCCTCTTATTATCTTTCTTGCGCTCCCTTCCTTTTCTTCCTATCGAGCCGGTCTCCTCCTGGGACTCGCGCGAAGATAGCCTGTTCGAGAGGCGATAATCGATTAGCCGGTTGGAAAAAGCGGTAGCGTATCGGTATCGTTCCAACTGGCCTACGATCCAGGTACTGAAATATCACCAGAGGGGAGAGAAACGCGGTTACACCTGGAGGAACGAGAAATTCCCCAAAGTCTCTCCCCTTCGAAACTGTTACTCTCGATCTTACGAGAATCTCTTTATCGGCCACCTTAGCAGTGGCAACGAAATTATTAACGCGACCAATCGCGTGACGAACGCAGGAAACGAAGATCGGCTTTTACGCCTCCTTTCGTCTTCTCGCTCTTTTTCCCTACCCGCATTACACACACACACACCCGGCCGCAACCTCGGTTCTTTCCACGTGGGGGAGAAAGAAAATCCTTTGGTCAGCGGAATATTAACGCCTAAGGATCGGCTGTTTTTCTCGGGCCGGGCGCGAAGGATGCGGCCTTGCGGCTCCTTCCACCGCGTCTTCGCTTCTTTCTTTCGCTATTGTCCTCGAAGCGTTTTAACGCAGACCGGCCTAGCCAGCAACACGGTTACATTTAATGGCGTCTGCGGTTTACCATCAAACTTCTCTCCCCCGTGCCACCTGACATCGCGAACGCCATGCCTTGCAATTCCTACGGGTTCGACCTTTCAGCTTAATCGTCTCGATACCCCGCTCCGTTCGTTCTCTCGAGAAGGATATTTAACGACAGAAGAATTTCTCGTGGAAGAGGAGCAAAGTCTAAGTGTGGACTTGGGAGTTGAAATTTGACAGGTCGGAACAGCGGTTATACTCCCTCGGTGAGATCCTACAGGTACTTAGAGAGCCTGCAGCCTTCTCGAGGAGGCGTTCCTCGCGTTCCACGTCTGCGGATGTTTAACTGCGACGAAGAAGTAATTAGTAAAGTCCGCGGTACATTTGGTAGCTAATAGCCGGTTCACGGTTTACAAGGATATTGTTTCCCGTAGCAGTTTCCGACTACTCCGGCCCGGTGTTTCCCCGCGAACGCAAAACTCCAGACAATGCACCGAGATGCCTGGGAAACTCCTTGAATCTCAAAGCCGCGCCTCCGCTCTCTTGCACTCTCGTTAAGAAAACGAGCTGTACCGGTCCAACTTTACACGTCTTTACCAACTTTATCTCCGCCTTTGGCTTTCTCTCAGAGAAAAGTACCCGTTCGAACGTCAACGGAGTTCTCGAAAACGAGAAGAAAATTTCTGCATACCTCTAGTTTCACCTGTGAAATTAGCGTACCGAAGAGTCGAAAGACTGCGGTCGGTTACCCTCGATGCGAACTGTCGATCGCGTGAGAAGACACGCAACAACGGCAAAGAGTATAGGTTGGACGTTTGTACGCCTGTTGGAAAGTTTCGAGTGAAAGTGGCCGGCGAAGGCTTGTTCCTCGTTAGCGCGTAAGTTATCGTCGGCCGATAGTTAACCCCCGAGGTTGGAGGTCGAATTGTTAAACGACCAGCCGCGTTATCTGGTAAATGAAAGGAACGCGCGGAGACCACGCGAGAAGCGCGTCTCCCCTTGCATAATCGATTAGAGACGCGCGCGTACGGTACACCCCGAGGAGTAGAGAGAGAGAAACGAAGAATTTACTCGGAGACGTTTTTCCACCGGTGCAAAAAAACATCTCCTCTGTACTTGTTGCGTGGGCATAAAGGGGTTTAACGAGCTTTAAAAATTGTCACGACACCGTCGTCTCACCGGCGTTTCCTTATTTCCCCGTCTCCTTTACCGTTACCAGGTATACCGGTAATAAAGAGCTGGTTCTCCCCGGTTCTTTTAATTTCCGCTCGAGATTCTTCCTCGAGATATCGTTTCGCGACGTCGATAACGGCACAATCGAGACGATTAACCCCTCTTCTCTCTCCCGTTTCAGATGTGAGTCTGTGAAGGTGGAATCCTCGAGAAGCGCGAGGTCCTCGCAATGGAGGCAGGACCGAAGCAACAGCAACAACAGCAGCCACAGTCGCAACAGCCTCAGCAACAGCCTCAGCAGCAGCCTCAGCAGCAAAATCAACAGAATCAAAGCTCAACGGAGCAAAATTCGTCGAACGGTGGACAAACTGGTAGCCAGGTCACGAGTCAGCAGAGCGGCCAGGCTCAAGGCCAAGCTCAAGGTCAACAGAATCAAGATGCGGCTGCAGTGGCGGCAGCAACTGCGGAGGCAGGATCAGTCGAGGAGGGAGTGCTTCTCGCCAGGGTGCACGTCCCGGAGCTTTACGTCAGCAAGTGTCTTCAGTTCCCCAAGGATCAGCTCGTCTGGGACGTGAAGCAGCAATGTCTGGCATCCTTGCCCAAGGTAAGCCTCTCTCTCTCTCTCTCTCACACACACAAACTTTCTCTCTCTCTCTCTCTCTTTCTCTTTCTCTGTCTTACTATCTGTATTTCCAAGTGACTGACTTCTCCTCCGCGAGAATCCATTAGCGAAGATCCTTGAAGACGGACTGGAAGAGTTGGGAGACCCGACGAATATCGCGAACCGCCTTCGTACGATTCGTTCGCGTCGATCGGTCAATTAACGTTCACCAATTGCATTATCCTCGCCACTCGGTGGCGTCCGTTGAAATTAATCGAGGATACACCTCGAACTGTGCCGCAATTTACTCGGGAAGAGAATCGTAATCGTCCTTGTAGCTTGTGTACTCTGTTACTTTCTTAGTCCATTACCGGTCGATCGGACGTCGAAGCTGCTCGGACCCTTTTGCAAAAGTACGCGCATACAGAATGTTACGCAGCTGCCACTTTGTATGCCAATTTCGCGAAATTACAGAGAACTCTGGCGAACGTTTGTGTACGTAGAGTGTAACACTGGTAGAGTTCTTCGGGAGTGTAAGATCGCGGGCTTCCTGACTCTTCTGTCTCTTTTTTCGTAGCAAGGTAGTTGGTAGCCGGAGCCAGGACGGAAAGTCACGAAGCACACGCAGGATTAAGAGATCTCGAGTAGATTTATTTATCGAGATATTCGCGAGAGACGGTGTGCGGACAAACGAGGGACGCGGACGCGGGAACGCGTGGAAATGCAAATCGAACCGATGCCTGTGCGATGTTCCCGCGACACAACGTCCGGCTCCGGAGAATTTCGAGATCGCACAAGAAGTACCTACACACTACAATATACAACCGCCACCGTCACTGACAACAACAGACACGAACACGCGCCACTGTACAGGGTGTTTCGCAAATGCACGACAATGCTTCGAAACTGAAACAAGTAAAAAATGTCGTATGGATGTAAATATAGATACCATAAACAGTCTAAACGGATTTAATTTGGGTGAAACGCACATCAATTCCAATCCATTTCGGGCTAACTTACACCCGGGCCACAGATTTGAATCTACTAAACTAATCGGGAAACTCTCATCCGTCAGACACCTCCTTAACGAAATTTTCTCAGAAGGTGCCAATCGAGTAAAATTCATCGACTAAACCCGTGCGGCGCGAGGAAGAACATTTTCTAAAACTAAGGTACATATATCGGACATATGTTGTCGGATGACTACGCGTTCAGCGATCTTTTAACTTTCTTCCTTCCTATTCCTGTTTCTTTTCCTGTCCTGTTGTTTCCGAGTCATACTTTCCTCTACCGTGACTCACCAGCGAACCGTGATCCTTGCTCATCCTCGGACTTCGGTCCTTTATTCTTCCGCGCTAAGGTACCCTTCCACCATCGGAAGGCGAATGGTTTTGCAGACGAATGCAGGGTCGTTTTAACCCATAGCAAAATTTCTATTTTATACTTTCATATTTTTCTTGTTTATTTACATGTTTGGTACACAAAATAGGTGGACTTGCTAATCTGAGCCGCCTGACTTTATCAAGACGTATAATTTCAAGAACCTACGGTCTCCCAATCTTTCTATCAGAATAAAGTTGTGTTGGAGACAAGAAATTATCCTAAGTTTACGATGCTATTTTTGAGGATTAGACTATTTAGCTTCGTAGCATTATTAATTGTACAATCAGGGGAAAGCCGCTTAATGGGTTTTTAAGTGCCTGGCCTCTCCTGCTCAATAGCAAATTGACGCATCGTAATCTTATTCTTCGAACCAAGGACTGACTGAAACGTGGACAACAATAGGACGACCTGGACACCCAAAATTTTACCTTATCCCTGACGTACAGATGTGCCGCTACTTGCACTTGACATTGCCCCACTGCAGGGCGTGAACGACAGGACCACGATCCCCCCGAACGTTTCTAACCTCCTCCATTGGACAGCACACCTGTCCCACCGTTTTCCCAATTTTCACTAAGCACACCTCTGGACAGACGACAACGTATAAAAAGGATCGAACAGTTAAAAAGAAGGACTCTTTTAAGAACACTCTTGGACGAACTATCACGCTGAACTTTGCACATTCGGACATTGGACTTGCGCATAGCTAACCTTTAAGAATTTATTTGCTTCTGGACAGACGACAACGTATAAAAAGGATCGAACAGTTAAAAAGAAGGACTCTTTTAAGAACACTCTTGGACGAACTATTACGCTGAACTTTGCACATTCGGACATTGGACTTGCGCATAGCTAACCTTTAAGAATTTATTTGCTATAAAATCGGCCAATAAGTTGAATAAACTCTTATACGTGATCGCGCGTCTTCCGTGAAACCCAGCAATATCCATACGACGCGTTTTACTTGTTCCTTTTTGCAGATTCACCCACTGAAATATCGACACGCATTTACGAAACACACCGTATACACTCTCTCCTCTATTTCCTAGACAAAGTAGACGCTAGAAAATACCGATGTGTGTGGCTTCTTCTGCTTCGTGTCGAATCGTCATGCTCTATCCTCCTGTTTCTTTAGTTTCTTCTTCTCTACACGTAGTTGTTCATTTTTCTTTCCACCGCTTTTTTCTCTCTCTCTCTCTCTTTCTCTTTCTTCATCTTTCCCCGTAACGCCACGCGAGGAATTTTCACGCGTGCCGTCGTCTTTTCTGTTACGCGAGTGTGCCTCGAGCGAGGAACGAGGCGCGGAAATTCCCATGGCATTCTCGTTACGCGACTTCCATCTTTTCTGCGCTTCCTCCATGCAAACTTCTTTCTTTCTTTTTTCTCTTTCTGTTTCCCCCGCTGCTGAGAACGTCTGCTGGCCTGTAGAGAGTCGCCTGTAGTTTCACACGTGGACAATTTGGTTTTGGTCGTTTTGCCTATCGTGTACGGGTCAAAATTTATCCGTTCGGATTAATACGGAGATCCTTTTAGAGCGTGGTAGTAGTAGGGGCAGTAGTAGTACACCTTAGTTACACGGAACGAGTTCGATGACGAACGACACGACACGAGGCCTTAGTGGAGCAACAGCGTAACCGAGTTACGTTCACCTGCATTCCACGCGGAGTTTCGCCTTTATTGATAATTGGTTGCCCTATTAATCCACCACTGTGCGTTGCGCTCGCCTCTGCAGAGAGGTGTAAGACAAAGGAAATCCAGCGTGTGTGTGTACGCGGGCCGCATTGTTGCAAATGTTTCTGTAACCTGTTACGCGTCGCCGGAGATTTTCACCTGGCCAGTCTTCCACTTCTGGCGAGGCGTAGCTGCGAGGGAACGTCCCGAAGCGATAATCGCTCAGAAAAAATACTCGACGCGTATTTCTTTTATTGACAATCGTCTGCATTGAAAGGGTGAAAATTTTGGTTCAAATTTGTAGGAAAATACAAAATATTCCTCCATCTCTGATAGTTTCTAACTTTGGGTGCGATTTTCACCCCGTCACTGTGCACGATCGCCAATATAAAAGAACACGTATCAGATATTTTTTCCAGAACAACCATATCCCAAAGTTTCATCGAAATCGGTGATTATCACTCCGGGATGCTCCCTGGTAATTTTCAGAACGATCTTCACCCCTCCGCAGTGGACAATTCTCGATACGAAAAAACACGTGTCGAATATTTTTTTCAGAACTACCGCATCCGAAAGTTTCATCGGAACTTTAAGGACATGAAAATTATCGCTTCAGAATGTTCCCTCGTTAGCGTTCCCAGTCATCGAACGAGTTCCGAAAAGAATTCTCACGACAAAATCACACGCACACGGACACACCTCTATACACACCTTCCACAAACACAAAGATACCCCAGTAATATACATATATGTACATAAGAAGGAATATATATAAATATATATGTGTGTGTATAATAGATATACTAATTAGTAACTTATGCACACAGCGACACGCGACATCGTCGTGTCCCATCGATCTCTCTCAATCGTGTACATTATATCTGACCTGTGGTGTTGTTGTTGTTGTTGTTGTTTTTGCTTTTGCCTCACTTGCACGGGGCGTGCGAATACACTACACCCGCCACCACCGAACCACCACCGAACCACCACTTCACCTGTGCTATCGTCTATGATTGGGGCCCGCCTCTTCGAACACGCACCCCCGTACTGCGTGACACGCACGCGCGCAATCCACCGCCAAATAAACCAAACGAATATACAAAAATCGGGCCCGACCTTCACCCTCCACCTCCGGTGTGTTGCGTCGCGGATATACCACCGCTTCTTCAACCCTTTTCGAGCGCCTCGCAGGTGGCCACTTGGTACAGGGTACGTCTTCACTATTACTAATAGCATGCATCCAATTACCACCCACCCCCCTTTTATGCAACTGTTTTACTTAATCATCCCGAAACCCGCCCCTCTCTCTTGTTTATGCCAGCGATTTTTTTCTTCTCTCCCCTTTCTACTTTCGACGACGCCTACTGTCGTTTGTTCCGCGAAAGGAAAGGGAAAAGAAACGAAGATTTATATTGATCTGTGCATGGCGAAGTCCCGCGGACTTGCAACCCCTTAGCCTAACGCGTAGGTTGGCCTTTTTAGTGCCAGCTCGGTATTTGGGCGAAAAATGCCACTGGCTGATGTGTTCGAATTATCGCTCCTTACAGCGTCAAGAGAGAATAATGTAGTATCGGGGCCTTCATGCCCAAATAGGAAACCGACCGGCAGTGTCTCTGCTTGCCAACCTGAGGTCCCGGTTGTGTCCCTCAGACTTTTTCTGTCGGTTTCTACAAATATTGCATTCCATGTCCTTTAAGTTTGAAAAGAACGAATAGTAAAATCTTCTTCTTTACAAAGCTATTCGTAGAAGCGATGTCAAATCGGCCCGTGGCATTTTTCGCGCGTACCGCATAGATGGGCCTGGCATTAAAAGTGTTAAGGCCCGATACGCACTAGCGGTCCGCTCCCGATGCGGTCAAATCTCTGAGTACTCACAGTAAGGTCCGGTCACGGTCCAGTCCCGAAATGTAAATTAGTTTACACATCCTACGTTTGGCTAAAAATCGGCTTTTCCGCGATTTTCAACGTATTAATAACTTCGAAGCCAACGAAATGGTGACATAAACTCGGCATTATTTCACGTAGACTGCAGATTTTTCGAAACCAGAGTAACGGTTCGTTTTTGCAAAGAAAAATTTCTTTACAATTTTCATATCGAAAAGGAGTGCGTGCAACGAAATTCCAAGTATTCTTAGTTCCATCTTCTGTGATGCGAATGAAAGAAAATACACTACAAGTATTACAGTTTCGTCAAAATCGGAATTGGGATGGAGAAACCGATGCTAAAATATTCTTTCCAAAGATAATTTCCGGGACGAGACCGGACTGTGACTGAAGCGTTATCCTTAGTGCGAAGGGTACGTTCTAAACCACAGAATACTTGACCCGACCGGAAGCGCGCCGCTAAACAGCGCGTATCGGTCCTAACTCCTCCCTTGTTCGACGCCGCGTCCCCTGAATGCTCGAGGAAAAACCAGAGTAGCAGACTTTTCCGTTCTCCGTTGGTTCCACGACGAAAACCCGGAAGAATCACGGGAGAGAAGCTTCTTCGCTAGTATTTTCGCCATGCTTGGTATTTTAAGAACCTAACATTTCCAACTGTCTCTCTTTTTTTTCCCCAAAAAATAGAGAGACACGTACGTAATGGAGTGTATAAAGAGGGAGATTGGAATCGATCCCGCGGTGAACGAGGACGAACGCTTTAATTAGCAAGGGGACCTTCTCGAATCGATGATTCCTCGTGCTTACGACGCGACCGTAGACCACGAGCTAGAGTTATTTCGAGCGCGATTTGCATGTACTTATAGCAGCTCCTGCCTTTCAGCGCTAAAGTACCATAGAAGATAAGTGCATGTATCGGTTAAGCGTACACAACTGCTGCTGTTGCTGACCCGTGGTTCACGTTCAAGGATGACGCGATACGTTGCCAAGGTCACGCAACCGCCACACGCAGTTTCCTTTCAGCGTGCTTATCAACTTATCGAGTGGTTCTCGGAACCAAGAACGTAATCGGTCCCCTCTAAGAATTTCGGACGAGCTCGTTTCTTCCTTTCATTCTGGTCAGATCCGAGATAACGATCAACGAACGCGGCGACGTCCTTAACCCTTTCGTTGCTACCGGCGCGTATAGGCGCTTTGAAAATTTACTCGCACCGTACAGTTCGCGCCTTTTGGCGCACTTCTAATTTAATCCTTAATTTTATCTTTCAAGTATTTCTAAATGTCGAAACGACACGGCCGAAATAAGAAATCTCGCAGCCGTGGTTGAAAGTATACCGTCAGTCACTCACGTTACGAAAGGGTGTTAAAGAGTCGAACACCAAGTTCCTCGTTTTCGAAGAACGACAGATAAGCTCGAAAACAGCAACTCGCCGCGGTTCTTCTTTCTTTTTCTTCGCTGGAAAAACTCGAGTCTTCGAGATAACTTGCGTTTTCGATTAGTCGTTTCGACCTTTTCTCGGTGCTTCGTTAAGTCGGTTTTGGTTGGAGACGAGAGAGACAAAATTCAGGTAATCTTGATAACTTTCGGTTTCAATAGGTCACGTTAAGTGCGTTCAATTTCAGCTTTTTTTTTCAAGTCGACTGTTCGAAGATAAGAGAGACGAAATTCGGGTAATCTTGATAACTTTCGTTTTGTGTTACTCGTTCTATGGGGGCGTTCAATTTCGACATTTTTTGAGCAATTTAAAAAGTTTATTGTTCGAAGATAAGAGAGAAAATTTCGCTGGTCTTGATAACTTTTGTTTTATGTTACTCGTTTCGTGGGAGCGTTCAATTTCGCCGTTTTAAACTCGATTGTTCGAAGATAAGAGAGACAAAATTCACTTAATCTTGGTGACTTTAATTTCCAATAGGTCACTTTTAAAGAGCACTCAATTTCGACATTTTTTAACAATTTAAAAATTCAATTATTCGAACATAAGAGAGACAAAATTCAATTAACACATTAAGGACCGCTCACGAGTTTTCTCGTGCTGCGCGCCCCGTCTGTTACGGACGGATCACGCCCGTGTTTTCTACACGTTGTCTTTAGATGTCAATTACTTTGATACATTGTATCTACTTTGTCCATTTAAGTGTTTACATCAATAGTCAATGTATTAACCGTTTTCGTCTCATCAATCCCATTGGTGGAAACCGTACAGGTCAAGCTATGAAAGACTGTATAAATGCACGAACCCGAAATAAAAACAGCTTAGTCTCAGAGAAAATTCGACACGTTGCATTGCATTTTGGTGATTCGAATAGTCTTCGTCTTCGAAGCGAATCAAGATATATATGTAAATTTTGTATGGTTCCTCTTCATAGAGAAAAATCTTTCACGCAATATCATACTTTAAAAAAGTACTAGAAACTTTGGTAAAATTGATTTTTAAATAAAATTTTATGATAATTATTAAAAACCAATTTTTTTTAATAATTGCCTAAAATACATCCTATTTTATAATTTCTGAAAGTTTCGCAAAAATTGCTTCATAAATAAAAAAAAAATGAGGCGTATGTCTTATAGATTTCTTAGCGGTCCTTAATGTGTTAACCGTGGTAACTTTAATTTTCAATAGGTCATTTAAAAAAAGTATTCAATGTTAGCATTTTTTCAGTAATTTAAACATTCATTTATTCAAAGATAAGGGAGACAAAATTCAGTAACTTTCATTTTCAGGAGCGTTCAATTTCCATCTTTTCTCGATACATTAAAAGCTCGATCGTTCAAAGATAAGAGAGACAAAATTCAATTAATCTTGTCAGCTTTCATTTTCAATCGCCCAGTTCAAAAGAGCCTTCAATTTCAGCATTTTCTCGGTGATTTGAAATCTCGATCGGCAAAAGATAAGAGAGACAAACTTCAATTAATCTTGGCAACTTTCATGTTCAATTGCTCGGTTCAAAAGAGCGTTCAATTTCACCGTTTCCCCGGTAATTCCTCATTTTTCCAAAGGATTAATAACGACACGAGCGTTCCGAATGGCCGATGCCGCGTTCCTCGTGGCCAGGCGTTACGCGATATTACGCAACGCGGCTCCAACCCGCGCTCTTCTACGTCTCGCTTTGGAAAGCGCCGCTTGTCTCTTCGTAGATTAAATATCAAATGTCGTGGAACGTTGCCGCGGAACAGAACCGATCGAACCTGATTTGTCCCCTGTCGACTTTGTCTAACGACAGGAACGAGTTCCGCGAGCTACTGACGCATCGTTCTGGCGCGTTTTCGCGCGTTCCACCTAATCAGATTTCGAGTGAGATCACCTTCCGGTCTTGTTTAATCGCACGCGTCCGTTGGTTTTCTCCGTTACGGGGGGGAAACTGCGTATCGAACGTTTCTGTAAAAGGATAAGAAACTTGATGGAGAATTCCACGGAAACTGAACGATGAATAATGCGGTATTTATCGGGTCACCCTGAAAGACTAGTCTTGGAATTTCGAGTTTCTTTAACGCGTTGACGAAAGTCTACGGAATATTGTAGAAATTATTTTACCCCTTCGACAGTTTACCCCAGGAGAGAGACTCGGGCAGTGCGTTAAATAACGAACAGTTTAACTCGAGAGAGACTTTTGGAAAGAGACATTATTATCAGAACTGTGACGTAGGGTTGTGTGTACACTGTGCGTAAAATAGGAATTTTATTCACTCTAATTCGTAATTATACTGGACAATCAAATATTCAATTTCAATAAAGTTACGTTTTTCTTTAACTGAACGGTTTAAAACCGCGGGAATTTTCACGACGACCTAATACAAAAGCGCTATTTACCTCGTAGGATCTGCTTGAACGATTGGCAGCGTGTAAATACGAAAAAGGAGAAGGTAGTTGCACGTGTTGCATGATAAAGTCTCGTTAAACAGTTGGATTCGATCGGGAAAACAGGTCAGAGAGGCGGAATTTCCTAGATCCACGTGCAGATAAGGAGCGGCCTCGCGATAATCTCCGTACGTGCCTTCCCTGAAAAGCGTTCCGTGTCGTTCGATCAGCCAGATACCATCGGAAAACCAGTCAGCCAGCCACCACGGAAACACGTATGGGGAGGTTTTCGGGAGGGAGGGAAAAATCGATGGCAGACTCGGAGAAAGGGGTTGTCGCATTATCGGTGACAAGCGTACGGAACGGTTGAAGCGGCGAATGAAACGCCGAAGGTGATTCACTTTCGCGGTCTCGTTGAAATTTCCTCGAAACGTGTCCCGCTAATTAACCAGCCGGCGACCCGACGACGACGACGACGTGTCGACTAATCGATTTTTCTCACCGCCGCGGCGGATAGAGCGGATCACGAGA